GTGTGTGTGTGCATGCGTTTGGAGACAAATCAACTATATATTAAAAAAAACACAGCTCTTGTACGCAGGTGTCTTCTGTATTCGTTCAGTTATTTCACTGAGATTTCACTGTTTGTCTTTGTGTTGACCTTCAATAAAGAACAGAGCATACTGGACATAATGTGCAGTAAATACATGCTACATGGTTCAGTGGGGCTAGCTTTATAGCAGTGCGTGTGTGTGTGTGTGTGTGTGTGTGTGTGTGTGTGTGTGTGCATGCGTTTGGAGACAAATCAACAAAATCTTATAAACACTCCTCATTTACTATTTTTGAAGACATGCATTTATGTAATAGTCTTAGTGACCTTTCTTTGAAGTGCTGCATTTACAATATAATTCTTGTCATGCTCGTATGCCTATTACCTCTGATAAGTCGTTTAAGGTATTAAAATTATCTGATTAAATTCTCGCCTCCTTAGCACACCACTTGAAGATTATCATTTACCACTCTTGATTGTTATCCAAAGGAACACATCCATGAAGGGTTTTGTGTTTTCTGCCGAACCATCCTTAAATCTAATTATGGCGACACATCCTACAAGTAAATAAATGCGTACAGTGAGGCTGTAGATTCAGTTTAACACGCACCTCTGAAGACGAATCCCCTGCTGCTGCAGACCGAAAATTGCCTCCAAAAATTACAACACGTGTGTTAAACAGTACACCAGACTCGGAATACTTCCTCATAATTAATTATTCCCTACAGGCCAAGCAAGACAAACGCCACATTTAGCTTTTGATTTGCTCGAAACTGTCAAGGGAAAGTTTGGAGAGGATAACTAATGACAACTTTGCACAAACAGTAACATCCAGCCTTTGTTCTACCAAGTTATTTTTGGCACTCTGAGATGAGATTTTTGCTGGAAAGTGGAGGAAGAAAAAAAAACTGGAAAGTTGTCAGGGAAAGATCTGAGAATAGCAAAATGGAAAGACTTCAAAAATGTGCATTCTATTATTAGTGTGCACTAATCCAAATGAGCACAGCCACTGTCCGTCACAGAGTGAGCTCATAATGGAAAATTACTAATGCGAGGGCTTATAGCAGGACAGCGAGTAACTTATCGCTGGACTTTGCTGCTGTATGTCTAAGGTCATTAAAATAACATAGAATCGAAAATATGAGTTAATGACACATTAATTCGTTTACAAAGAGACATGTATAAATTTACCTGCTGGACTGTTCCCTTGAAGCCTTCCGTAAGTGCAGCGGCTCTTGCTAGTCGGCTGTAATCGGGAGCTCCACCAACAAAAAGAGACTCTTTCAGGTTAAGATCTACGTGCTGGTTCTGATGAGAAAGGACACAGACACGTTTCAGCTTATGAGCCAGAGATGCACCCCGCAAAAATAGCTCTACATCTACCTCTGTATGTCTTTATTGACTCTTTCCCATAACCCATCATCAACTTTTCTCAAGAGTTTCCTATTCAGAACATATTGGTTTATACTTTTACCACAGTCAAGGGAGCCAGGAAATAAATTGCATCCTTTTACCCAAGATATAAAGACTGAGATTAATACACATACCACATTTACAGACATGTCACAAATGTCCCATAAAAAAAGATTTAATACTAAAGCCAGCAGAGGCTTTAACTGAACTTCCGTGCCTTCCTTCCACGCCAATACACTTGATACATTACAACATAATTGATTTCTGTGTCTCTCAGAGAGAGTGGTCAATTATCCTCTATCTGTGCGACATAAAAAGAGACTACAAAGGAAAATCAGAAGCAGGCTGGGCTGGAGATATGGATGGTTCTTTACAGACATCTCTAATGAATGGCTGATTATAAGCACCGACCTTTCAAACGGTTGAGTGTGGAGACACATTAATTGCAATTCATTTGTGCAGCAGGCGGCTATGAAATTCGATTCTTTCCACCAAACCTTTGGAACAATTGCTTTGCATTAGCAAGGTGCCTCTTTGCTACTTTTGCATGGGAGAACTGGCCCACTTCAGAAGGAAGGAATTAATGATCTTTATTTTATGTAGGGCAGTAATTGCCAGAGGGTTAAAGTGGAGTTAATTGCTGTAAAAATGATGGAAGGGGCCAAATAAACTGGCTTTGTGCAGGCAAGCTGGCATCAGGCTGGCTTTTATTTAGGATGGGATTTGGAGTGCGGGAGGCTGTGGTGCTTGGCTGAAGCCCGGGGCTGTGTCGCTGCACCTTGAGCCGCTTCCAGCTGAGATAGAGCAGAGACTTTGGCCAAAGCAGCTGGACCCAGTTGTGGCTGTTGCCTCTAGGCTTTGCCAAAAGTTGTCACCAAACTGTAGGGCAAAGATGGCCACCTCAGGCTCTGTATGCAGACATTACTGCTCTACAACACCCATCTACTCTGCAGATAGAGTTACAGAAACATACTGCACCTTCCCTGAGATCTTACCCCTTCATAGAGTGATACTCTGGAATTTAAGTACTCACTATCTATGTCAAGCTACACTTCTATGACGCTAAGTGAAACTGCATGCAATGGAATGGTAGATCATGTTCTAAGTTCTCCCCCTCTTCCAGGTAATAATAACCACCTGTTGAAAGAGGATGGCTGGTTCCATGGGGTGATTCTTGCTCAGTGATGTTCAGTGAGACTTGTGTCGTAATGGGTAAAAGAGTGAGCGAGTTCATGATATTATGGAGGATTGTTCTTGTGCATAAAAGTGAGAGCAGATGACAAAAGAACAGCCAGGCTTGGCTTAGCACCTCACCGTCTCCTACGGTATATATCCTCCTCGCCTCCCATGTCTTCGCTCTCACTTTCCGACAGGCACGCGGCACTGGCGTGATATCCCCGCCTACGGCAGACTAATGAAGACATTTCTTTGTTGCTAAAAACAATGGCCATCGCAAAGATGGCTGCTTCTTTTCCTTCTTACCTCCCACCTTCCCACCCCCACAGCAGATGGACCGAGGTGAAAGCCAAACCTTGTTCTTTAGGAGCATCTCCTCTTTGGTGCTGTGTGTGCGTTTATGAGCTTATGAAAATGGCAAAGTTGTTCTACAGAACTGGCACCTTTAAAGCTGCCTGCAGCTCTGCAGAAGTACCCTTTTTTTGGTCTGTGCAGTTGTTGCATGAAGAGATGAGGGTGAGAGGACACAGCGAGGTGGCTCAAACAAAATGCGGGGCTGAGGTGTGACTGGGACTTGTCTAATTACCTTGCGTGATTTCTTATTTCCAGACAGCACATCATAGAGAAGGAAAGAAAATAGGGAGGAAGAGAGTTATTAGGGTAACTAGAAAGTGTCTGTGCACAAAGGAGCATGCAGAGCTAGGCAAATGCAAAAGCTCACAAAGCACACACGTACTATAACACACACACCTGCAAGAGTATTAAAAAAAAAAGAAGCCGCTGTGAAGCACTGACATGTGAGACAGACACGTTAAACAAGAATATAAAATGTGGACAGCACACCTTTGCATTATATACATACACACACATGAAACCACAAAGCTGTGCAAGTGCGTATTTACACTAGAGAACATGAATGCAAATAAGACAGTAAGTCTAAGAAGGCCGTGCATGAAACATACGATGCCATTAGCAAAAGATGAAAAGGAGGAAAAAAAAAACACTTCATGGATGAGAGTCTATGAATAGTGCCACTTAACCCAACCTCATTTATAGACCACAGCCATTCAATAAGAGGTGAAGTAGATTATTATTTCTGTTATCCGAACCTTTGAAAGTTTGTAGTTCATTACGCCAGCAGCCTGAACAGACTTTGAAATGAACATGCTATATGCATCCATATATGTTCCTGTGTGCGACCACCTTTGATATGATATAGGTTTCTCTGAGCAAAGCGTATTGTAACGCCTTCCTGGTTCTTAGCGCTGAAGTGGGAGAGAATTAGCTTAGAGCAATACTGGATAGGGTCTCTGCAATGAGCTCCATAACTAGTCTCAGCTCATCCCTTGCGTCCTACCAGCCCCCCACTCATCTTCGCTTTTCCCTTGCTCTCTTTCTTTAATAAGATTTTCTGCCTCCGTTGCTGGAGTAAAACACAATTACCATACGGACGATGGGGAGGCAGAGGAGGGGTGACTGAGCAGCGAGAGAGAGGGGAAAAAAGAAAAAAGCAGTGTTGCATCTTAGAGGAAGTTGATGGAGTTGACAGAGTGCATGTTCACAGTCACAAATTACACTGTTTAATATAATTGGATGACTTGCAGACTTATCAAACTATTAGATCGCCTTCATTTGGAACCATGTACCTGCTTTATTAGTCTAGTCGCCGGGTTTAAAATTTTCATTACGCACTCTCTCGCTGCTGCTATCTCCTTGATCTGCCTCCACCTCCCTAGGCAGCACCCTCAAAGGCTGGATTTATGAAATTGACTGTATACCAGCAGAAAAGGCTGCTTTTTGAATTTGGTAGGTAATGCTAACTTTTATCTCTAGAAAATCAGGAAGCTTGAAGAAGTATTACAAAATTAAGACTGCCCCTTCTATATTTACAGCTCTCCCTCTTGCATTGCTGGATTTCTGGAGATAGCTGCATACTTTAGGTTAGAACAAACTATACGCTCTGGGACTGTGTACAAAAAAAATCAGCAAAACTGGGTAAGCAGTAACTTGGACACTACTTATAGGGGCATGATGTGGCGATGAGGCATAGGCACACAGAGGGGTATATACACATATAAATACAGGCAGACATAAGGGTAAGGATAGCACTGGCCCCATGCTAAAAGCAAGATAACCATTAGCAGTAGCTTGGTGGGTTGCGGTTTTCTTACTGGTGCCTCTCCTCGGACAGCACCCTTCTTGTTCACCATGATCTCTCCTTTGCGGTTGGAGCGCTCCAGGTTGATGGTGTTCCACACATTCAGCTGGATCCGTTCTTTACTCCTGAATCACACACATGCACAGTTTTATATTTCTCTGTTTTCTTGTTTGATAACTTAAACCCTCTTAGATTCTCAAGTCGTGGTAACCTTATGGTGGCAGGTCCCTTCCCCAGGTCGTAGCGAAACTCCAGGAATCCACCGCTCAAGGACAGTGAGATGAAGTCTCCTCTTCCATCCGACTTTTGGCCGTTGTAAAAGATCAAACCATTGGAGTCGTTGGCCATGAAAACCACTGTCATGCTAACCTTTTGACTGCAGACGTAACAGAAGCAAAACACACACGTGAGTTTAAGAGGATCTCCTAGAAACATCTCCTAGATGTTTTCCTGTGTCTGGTGCATCAACACTGTTTCTCCAGTATATAAAGACATTGTATGTTCTACATGCTCACACTTAGACAGCATTACTTGTTTCCGTCATTGTCAGTTCAGTCCAGGCTTAAAGAAGGGTGTTGGCTTTAGGCACAGAACAAGCTCAGTCTGTGAGACCTACGTGGTATCCGGTGTTCAATAATACATGTGGGTTTCACACTGAGGCATGGGACTTACCGCAGATCGTGCCCGTACAGATGTAGCCCCTTCAGCTCCAGGTAAGAGTCTCCGTTGAACAGTGGCATGTAAGCCCCTTGCCTCTCAACCACTGGGGGGGAAAAAAAAACAAAGAGACGGTATTGAACCGCAGGTGTCGTTTTTGCTGCTGACAAAATTGAAATTCAGGGATAGTCAGTACATCTTTGAAGAGCCTGTCAGCATTAAGGAGAGAGATGGATTTGTGTTTTTATAGCTTTTGGGATTAAGACTTTCTCCTGACGGAAATTCAAACAAAAAAATTAAATAAATTAAAAAACCCTTATGTCAGACTGATTACACAGCCCGCCACTGTATAACAAAGGACCTTTGGAGACATGCGGAGTTTAACACCACAGCCTGGGACCTATCAAATAATGTGGCTATTGTATTTTGGCAGGCCTTTTTACAAATTCATGTCTTAGCAACAGGGTCTACGTCTGGCTGTCCCGTCTTTTGGCTGTCTGGAGTGATTAGGACAGGCACTGTGCCATCCCGCTAACAAGTAGCTTGACATTAAAAATCATTCAAGTGTCACTGTGGGAGTATGCGTTTATGGTGTTGCTTGCAAAAGCTACAATCACTGAGAGGAATGTGCCACGCTAGATGCTCACACATATACACATACCTATCTATGTAGCCGGCAAGAAAGCTTTTACTCGTAATTGGCTGGGATTAGTCAGGATGGGGAAGGGAGACATAGAAGAGAAAGCTAATTAGCTATTGTGCAGAAGACTGCTAATGATGATGACGGCACGCACCGCGCAGGAGACGGAAAAAGAGTCTGGTGCACGCAACAAGGAATCCTTCGCTAAAGTGAACACTTTAAGAGCTTCTCAGAATGTAGTTTCCTATAGAGCAAGTCTGGAGGGTTTTTCTTGTTTTTTACCTAGCGCTCAAACTGAAAGCACATCGATCAATAGGTGAGCAGAGGGCAAGGCATTGGAAGAGGCTGGATGACCAGGAAAGCTGCATGATGCGTGGGTGACTGAGTTTGACGACTAAGACAATTTCCGTCAAGTTAAAGTTTCCACAGCTGGTCTTTGGTCTTTAAGTCAGAAGCGGCATTTAGCGAGCCGTTGCTTCTATTGCTAAGTCAGTGGCAAGCTCTGTGGCAATTTTGTTGATGGTGGAGTAATGACACCCAATTAGTACTTCTAATAAACCCACAGTATCAAAAAATGAAATGGCAACAAGCAGCTTGAATACACAAAAAAGAAAATCTCACACAAAGACCTAGCTTAATGTAACTGACAAGCCCCCTTTTTTTGGTCTGTGTGTGTACTGCCTCAATCCTAATGATTGTGCTTCCATCACTAAATTGTAATGATTTACACTATGACAGGGTAAAAGCATTGAGTAAAGTAGGCCATTCAGTACTACTGGAACACCCTTGAGAAAAGTCCTTGACTGTGAATATTATAGCAGCGAGCTACACTGACAAACCCCTGGTGGAATTGAAATGGAAGCCACAGCTCAGCTAAACGTGCGCGCACACACGCGCACATGCTAAGATACAAACACTTCATATTACGACCAATTCACCTTCAGGCTTCTGATGAGAGCGCTCTAAGCTACCTGTCTTTTTAACTGTTCTCAGTGCAGCCCTCAGAGGGGATGTCCGCCTGGCTGCCACCTTATCTCTGAGCTCCTCTCGGGGGCTGACACTCTGGCTGACTGACGCTCCCATTAATCACCGCGGGCAGGAAGGACTGATGCGATTAGTCATCTCATTGATTCGTGTGAAAAAAATAGCCTTTTGGAATGGGAGACGCTCCCGCTCACATGGCATTGATTTTGGTTCACCTCAATTTATTTTAATCACCTGCTAACTTGGACTCGAGGCGAAGGAGAAAGAGGCTATTCCCATCTGGTTTTTTTTCTGAATTCCCAGGGTTACAAGGTTGCGCGTTTCTCTTTTGTTCAGGATTTGCATCGGAATATATTCTTTTTAATTCACACTTGCAGAAGTCAACTTCTGCAAGCATTCATGACAACATCTACAAAGGAAGGGAGGGATAAACATGAGTAGACTTCAAAATGCCACACCGCCCAAAGTGCTAATGATGAACTTCAAAAGCAGCCGAGCTGTGCTCCGGTCTTTTTCCCAGCAGCGGCCTGGTTCTGCCATGTGAAACTAAGTACCAACAAACATGTTTGAACACAACACCTGTGGGCAGAAAGGCAGGGAGGGAGGCTGCATCCTACCCACTAACAAGCGTAGCAGAGTCGATGTGGTGAATGGCCCGACGGGGCCAATCATCTACCTCAGTTCTGTATGCCACCAACCCTCCCTTTCCCTTCCACCCTGAAGGCTTTTGCACCCCCCTCTCCCTTCTTCTGCATTTGATCTCCTTTTTCGATTCAGCGGGAATGGAAATGTCACAGAAGAGGGAAAATAGGCATGGAGGAGGGTGCTACACAGCAGACTCCAGACCAAAACTCTGTTGTGTCCGGGAGAGATTACCGTTCTCGCAGTGTCTTCCTTCACGTCCCATGGGGCACTCGCATTTGTAGCCTCCCTCGGGCTGTGCCTGGCACTGGGAAGACGGATGGCACCTGGTGGGGCTGCACGGGTCGTGGACGTCGGCACACGTTAGACCTGGATGTAGACACAAAAATGTCAGAAGGGAACCACCAAGGAAACATGCAACAAGCGCCAACGTATTCAACCACTGACTCTTTTGTATTCCACTTGAAACGAGGGGAAGACAGAAAAAGGAGAGAGAAGCGGGTGTATGAGGATTTCCTCTGTAATAGAGGTCATTTTCTAATAGGATTTAGAAATATTACACGTCCAGATTAAACAGTGGAGAGCCTTCCTGCCACGCGGCCATGTTTCTAGGCCAACGCCAACTGTGGGAAAGGCTAGCAGGCGTCTGGTGGATGATGGGTTTGCCCTCTGCCACAGCCCATCTGAATTCACCCGTTATTACTTTAGCAGTCAGAGCCTGTGGTGAGGCGAGTGCTTTAATGAACCCCATCCCCGCTGAGCTCACAGGGCTCCCCCGTTTTCCTCACTCCTGCGTTTGGAAGCTGTATTTTATCCTCCACTCTTAGCTCCTCGCCACCATGGCTCTTTTTCACATCTATTCTTCCTCTCTCGTCTTTTTAACTCTATTACTCTCTCCCCTCTCGCATTCATCCAGCTGTCCTGACATGCCCTCCCTCTAACTACAACTCTTCCCGCCCATTTGTTCTGTCTTCTCTCTTTCTGCGATCTGTCCTGTTCCTTCGAGATAGCCAATCTCGGCCACTTTTAAATGGACATCGTGACAAAATTAACTTCAATCTGAGGGCGCAGGCATCGGTCCAATTCTCATTAACACCATTTGTTGTACACTGGGTTGCTAGCATAACTTCTGTCACAGCAGTGCTTCTTCAGATTTACATGCCTCCCCAAGCTTCTCAGCACCAACAAAAACATAAAGGCAACAGTAATACAACGCAATACTTTATTGATCCACATTGTATATTCAAGGAAAATGGCTCTTAAACCACGACTGACAGGTTGTTTCAATAACCATTAACCTGCCCCCATTTGTGGGTGAAATCCTTTACTATTCGAGCATAAAAGTGAGATCTGACAATTAAATTGCTTCTTGTGTGAAACTTTCCGCGGTAAGCTGCAGTATAACCAGCGAGGGGCACGCTTGGCTAGGCCCTGCTGGTGTCTGCTCTTAACTATATTCTCTCTCTCAGCTGCTTGTTAGTTGCCATCTGCTGGAGGGAGAAAAAGACGAGGAAAGGAACAGTGGAAGGAGAGATAGGCCAAAGGCCAATCACAGAGAATTAGTTCAAAGTTTTTCGTGTTCCTTGCACTGCGTCAACATTTAAACTCCCATTTCTGTGCTGGACACACAGATTTGATAGTGTTTACAAAATGACTTGCAGCGCTGCTGCTGGGGGCATGAGTTACACTGTCAAATTAGCCTGTCAAGCTTACTTAGGATTTGTGAGTCAGGCATGACCACAGTGAATCCCTGTGGAGAAGGCAACACTGAGATGTATTAGCAGAATTTTAACTACAAGGTGTTAGGAAAGTTTGAAGATTACATATGAATAAGGCATATTTTCTACTTATTTCCCCACGCTTATACTGGAACCAACTTCTCAGAACTCCATGACTGTCCATAACTATTAGGAAAATCTGCTCAGCATCTTACCCCAGAATCCTTTGCTGCACTTGCAGTGGAACATCTCGGCCTCCTTCACCTGGCAAGCACCGCCATTCTTGCAGGGATTTGGCAGGCAGGGGTTGTTGCCGCATTCACCCACCCCGCTGCCGTACAGACTTTCGCCCCCGTTCTCCTGCAGGTTGAGGTTCCGGTTGTTGACATCTAACATGCGGATGCAGCCCACCAGACCGACTGCCAACCCTGTCCTCTCCTTTACACTGAAGACAGACAGGGGGGAAAAAAAGTTACACTACTAAAGCTAACTGAATCACACTGAACCTGCAGTGAAGAAATGCCATACTCTATGAAGTATTATTAATACACTTCATTATATTTTCATAAAGGAAGAGCTAGATGAAGACTTTTCCAAATTCACCTCGGATGTTGACCTTTTTTTCTCGAACATCTGATCATTTCTGATCAAAATCGAACAAACTGGTTAATTACTACTATTACTGACACCGGCTTTGTACCAGGGATGCCACAATATCATATCACATAATTACAATCATTCACATAAATGGCATTATTTTAACCATAATTCCAAAAGAAGTTGGGACACTGTGTAAAATAGGTGTGTAATTAATAATAATAATAAAATAATAAACATTTTATTTATATCACTTTCTCATATTTACCTCATATTTTATTCACAGGAAAACATGTGAAGTTAAAATGCACCATTTTAATTAAAACAAAAGGTCATTTTGATTGTGATGACAGCAACGTGTAGTATCACAAGAGAGACCAGTTTCTGGACTTTCTGGACTGGACTGGAGAGGAGAGTTATCCCATTTTTGTCTGATATAGGATTCCAGCTGCTGAACAGTCCTGGATCTTCTTTGTTATATTTTTATTTCATCCTCCCTATCGCTGCCAGTTCCACAGGCACTAATGCACCTCCATAGATCTCCTCTTTATTCTGGCGGACACAGCGTCCATGTTTTCCAAAAAGAGTGTCAAATTTCAAATCGGCTGATCACAGAACAGTTTTCCATTTTGTCTCAGTCCATTTTAAAGCGTTGACCCGGAGAAGACGACAGCGATTCTCGATCATGTTCACATATGGCTTCTTCTCTGCATTGTAGAGCTTTAAGCAGCATTTGTATAGTTAAAGCTCAGACACAGTGATTTGTGTAAGTGCTCCTGAGCCTGTCCAGTGATTTCAACATACTGTGCCCCTCTTAGACACCCTTTTTAAACCCAATCACGTCACCGACCTCTAATATGATTAACCTAATTAGTTGCAAAATTGCTCCTCCAGCTGTTTCTTTTTAGTACCACTTACTTTTCCAGCTGCCCCTCTCCAAACTTTATTGAGACACTTTGCTGCGATCAAATTGTTCGAAGACAAATGAGCAAGATTTTTCATTAATCAGTAAAATGTTTCCTGTGTTTAGATTTGCAAGTCACACTGTCCCAACTTTTTGGGAATTAGGGTCGTACATTAATTGTACACGTATAAATAAACAGGTCAAAACACCTTCCATCAACACAGTGTTAACTAAAACAATATTACTAGCGTGGAGTGGGGGGCAGATAGTTTGAGTGTGTCCACAGGCTTGCAACTAATGACTCTAATACACTGCGATTTGATGCCTACTGTCCGTGTCCTCAGCTAGCTGCAAGCTCTGGGGCTGAAAAATGAAGCAAACAAAACAAATCCCAAAGTGCCAAAAACTGCAATTCTTTGAACTTCCGATTGAAGCTGTACTAAAAGCAGATTCCTGTGTTTAAATTCCCAACTTTACAGCAAATTTATGACTTAAACGTTTGTACTAATTTTATAACATGAAGAATTTTTTTTTCATAAAAGCAATTTAGTTTAAATATTCCCATATTGTTATCCTCCTACTCTTTAATGCACTTCTATTAAGACCAATGGATGAACAAGCAGCAGATGGGGAAAAAACAAATGGAAGACGGGGCCGCGCTCTATGAAACCACTCTAGGCAACTATCCTCACATGACTTAACGGAGGGTACCAGATGAATACAAATAACGGCAGTCGATTTATCAAAAAGCTGCACATGGCTAATTTTTCCCTCAAAAGTCTCCGACTAGGTTACGGGCCACTGAAGTGGGATTAACATTAGTTAACTCTACACTGAATAAAAAAAATGGCAAATCAGCAAAATTAGCATAAACAGAAAACTTGATTGGTGCCGCTTGGAATTAGCTAGATACTGAATATATAAAAGCTGTAGAATGAAATATTAAAATGAGCCACAGATGATGGACTTTGTGTCTGCACATCACTATTAACACAATGGTGTGACTGTAACTGCAATTCCAAGGTCTTACTCTTGCTTGATGTCCTCAGGCACTCCTCCGATGAACAGGTTGGTGTCGAGGTTGAGGCCATCTGTGCCCCGTGGGCTCTCGCCCTCGATGTGTGGCTCGCTGTCCACGCTGAGCATGGCGTTTCGGCGGTTGCGAGTCACCACCAGCTGATGCCAGCGGCCTTGACTGATTTGAACTTTGCTGAGGGCCGTGCCTGTGCCCGAACCTGTGTTGAACCTGAAAAGGGATGATACAGAATAAGTTAGACACCTCACTTTACCAAAAGATCCCTCTATTTCTGCTGACTTTGATACTTTCATCAGGCAGGTATTTTCTTTTTCAAAATATCCAACTTGACTACAATGACTACAGGAAATCTGCTCATAATGCTCAACAAGACAAAGGTGGAGGAAAGAAAGAAGATACAAAAGTGTTTATTTGGAATTTCAGACTGGAGCATGTGACTGAAATGACTGGAATCACATCCTCATTTTTAATTCAACCTTTTTTCTAATGAGGTTTTGTTGAGAGAAAAAGGCCGTATCATCACAGAAATAGCCGTCGTGTATGTGCACCCACACATATGGTAGCATTATCGCAACCTGAGAGCAATTATCTGCCACAAATAATTAGTTCTTCTCCCCACGTCTTGGATTTGCAGAGCTGTGGGTGGTAATCTCACAGCTGTATTTCTAGAATTGAGGCAGAGCTCTATTTGAAAGCACAAGTGACTAATGATCTCCTTTAGTTTGCTATTGATTTTACCCTGAATAGAGCAATCTAACCTGGCCAGGTTGGGAGAAACTGTAAGACCTTGCAGGGGTCAGGGTGAAATGTGAGAACCAGAAAGACAAGGGAAGCTAACATTAGAAATACAAGGTCCGAAAAAGATGCACTGCAGCATCTCTAATTAGCTCATTCTTGTCTCTTCTGAAGATGTTCCCGTCCCCAAATGATTTTTTATTCATACGTCTCCGGCAGAGAGAAGAGATTAGTGCTAGTGTTTTTGCAGGTTTCTGGCAGGAAAAGTCTCGTCTCTCATGAGACTAGATAAGACCTGCAGTTACTGTCAGCTTCAGTTTAAAGTGTAATACTAGATATTTTGCCCACATAAAGCTCCAGTGTGCATGCTAAAGGGGCAAAACACCAGTTTTACATCAGGATCAATTTCCTAACGGTGACCCAGCCTGACTTTAAGTCTGCAAATATACTCCATCCATTCCATGATGGAATAAAAGCTGTAGATGGTTACCAAGAAGGGATGATGAAAAAAACATCATTATTTGTTTGGCTACATTTGATTATTTATTCTTCTATTTTTTGCTTTGGTCCTAGAGTGATACTGCCCCCACCAGTGTTGACAACATGCACAAAAACACACTTGTACCACTTCAAACCTGACTGCTACATGCACAGTTCTGATGGAAAAGAGTCATTTAAAGCATCTAAGCTGAAATTTCTTTCTCATTCGATACACCTGTAAATACAAACACCGCATTTTGTAAATACAGATTAGATTTTTCCTTTGTTTATCTGTGTGATTAAAGATAACATATAAAATGTGCACTTGGGACATTAGCATATATTCCCGAGTATATATTCCTTCCACCTGTAATCATGTGAACTGTAGCTTTTTCTTTTCCCGGCACAGCCGTTTTTCCGACATGTTTACTCACTGTAATTATTTGCCTCATTATCTTTAGTGCCGTCTCTTTGTTTTATTCTTATCTGCATCTGTTGTCAGCTGCTGCTGCAATGACCCGGTTTCATAGTGTTGATCATTAAAATTTCATCTTATTTTTGCCACGATGGATGTGAAAGTAAAAAGCCTACTGAATTCAATCAAAAAACAAAACATCAGGACCACTGATGTTAGCCGACAAGGTCCCTCTTAAATCAGCTGACGTTCACCTGAGCTCCACCCTGCCGTTGACCAGAGCAAGAGAGATGAAGTCCTTCTTGCGATCCTGGCCGTTGTAGAGCAGGATGCCGTCCATCTCAGAGGCTCTGAACTCCATGGCGATGCGGACAGTGTGGTACGCGCTCATGGTTGGGAAGGCCAAGTAGGACTGGCCTCCAAATGACGGGATGTAGTACTTGATCACTGTGGAGGAAAGAAGACAACGAGACATTCTCGTCATTATTATGTGATTTGCTTAATTGCGGTGTGAGAGAAGCTTCATGCACGTTATGATGCGTGAGCGGCACGTGACAGAAAATGAGAAGAATTCTGTTTATTTTACAGGATTGATGTTTTCACCAAAGGCTTGATAGGTTTATCAAAAGCAGAAGGTGCAGAAAGAGGAGCCATCGTGCACAGTCTCACACGCGTGGACACACAAACACACACAGCAAATGTTTGTTTTTTGTGAATCTACTTGACAATTCTGATTATTATCATGCATTATCCCTCCTGGGCTCCTTTTTTTTCCCACCGTCCATCTGTCTTCCTGTCCGTCTCTCTGAGGAGAACGGCATCTGATGAGCTCTCGCTTTTCTAATGACTTGATTGATCTCGGGGAGGCTGGTTGTGCAGTTTTGTGTGTATGCGTGCATGATTTCATTTAAGCACTCTAACACAAAGATCCACACTGATTCTCACCAGCTAATCCCCATCAAAGCAATTAGTGTCAATTATCTTAAGACGCAGCTGCGTGAGGTTGCTCCCCATTTCAGAAAAATCCCAGAGTAGAGTAAGAGGGAGGAAAGGAAGGAGCTGCGCTTCTCTAAAAAGTTCTCCCAGGTTTATGGTTTTCTCTGCGGCCTCGGCTGGATTTTGTGTAGCCTTTGGTGCACGGCTCAGTGGTCGCTCATTTCTGAGATGTTGGGCCTGTCTGAATCACTCCAGATGAGCTTGAAGCGCAGCAGTCGGGGAGAAACTCAATCACACCTCAGCTCTTTTTTCTTCAACACCGACCGTAAAACTGACACTCTGTACAGTGCTGTGATTGCTCGCTGATAAACCGTCGAGCTTTATACGATCCAATAAATCCACATCTGTGGCCACATAACATTTCATTTACATATTTCAAAGCTAACTAAAAGTCATTACTCCCACTGCCAATTAAGGTGTCACCTTGCAGACGCTACAACCACGCCAAACCAAAGCATGACGCGGAGAATGCATTTCTTCTTTCGCTTTAAAATAGCGTTTTATTTGATCAAGTGTTTCTAATATTTGATTTTTTTCCTATTATAATGGTATGTTTCTGCTACTTTATAAATACATCAAAGCACTTGAAGATGTGGTTAGTAGTGATTATAAAACAGCTAAAAAGCATGATTGGCACAATGAAAAGTGGAGTGCCTAAAACCCACTTAGCTGCTGCAAAATCTCTGTAACCGTTAGCCTTTGGTGGGTTCTTTGAAATTGCTAATTGCAAAGTAGCAAATTACAGGGAAAGTCTGTCTGAGCTCATTTTCTTAGATGAGTCTGAAATAAGCCGAGACTTTGAAACTTTTGATTTAAGAGTAATCAGAAATATGGCAAAAGATAAAGTTCCTAAAGAAAATGAAAACTCTGTGCTGACCCACCCTTCTCGCACACAGTCCCTCCGCGGCCCGCGGGACACTTGCAGTTGAATTCGCTGCCGTTTTCCTCGCACGTGCCTCCGTGGAGGCAGGGGTGGGAGTCGCAGGGCTTCTGCAGCACCTTGTGGTAAGGCCTGGTTGTGAAGCGGGCAACGGTAGTGGCTGGAGGCAGGGCAGTAGTGGTTAGAGGCGAGGTAACCAGCACCAATTTATGTCTGCCGCTGAAGGGCCTGCGGGTGGTGGCTGTCGGTCGACGGGTGATGTAAGGGGAAGTTGTAGGAGGCCTGGTCGAGGTAATGGGAGCAGCTGTGGTGACCGACGCTGTGGTGGTAGTGGTAGTGGTGGTGAAGATGGAGATGGAGGACAGGCCTGTCAACAGAGGTGGTTGGAGAACAAAAGGATTTGGAAAAAGGAAATAAAAGGGACATTAAAGTATGTTGAGCCTGCGGTTCTGAGACTTTCTATTCAAGACCTGTAAAACCTTTGATAAACTACCTCATGAATAACTTAAAACTCCCTTTCATTTTATTAATCCCTACACACTCCTGTTAAGTCCACACTGTATTACCATAATTGGTGAAGCGAATATTCTCATCCTCCGGCTTCTTCACAGAGATGCTGGTGTCTTTGGAGGCCTTTAACTGTTTCAGCAGGGCTCCTACGATGTCCTCCACGGTGAATCTTGTATCTACAACAAACAAGAGGTACAAGCATTTAGAGCAAGGCCTCCGAGGAGCACTCCAAAGCAAATACAAGGCTTGAGCTCCTTAAATGTTAAAAGGGATATATCAAACAGCCCTATGTATGACAGTTGGGAGGGTCTCCGTGGACCACTTGTCCTCCAGCCGTTGATTGTCCGGCTTTTTTCCAGATGAATTGGTCTCATAATGTTCGCCGCAGATGTTTGCTTTACAGGCCATGGAGGAGCGGCACATAACGGCACCCGATAACCCACGTGAAGGATATCAAGGACACTAAATGAGGCTCATAAAACGATGGAATAAAAATAAAAAGGAACAGAGGAAGCTGATGTTCTGTGTGGTAGTTTAAAGAAGCAGCTGCTGCATATGACCCAAGATCCAAGAAAAGTATTGTAACATGATGATATTTAGACAATACCCAATTCCTTAGATATCCTGCAGGTCCTTCAGGTTTTAGATGTGTCCTTGATCCGACACAGTTGATTTAAATGGCTATATGACCTGTCTTGAAGTTCTCCAGATGCCTGGGAATGAACTATTTATTTGATTCAGGTGTGTTGAACCAGGGGTATATCTAAAACCTGCAGGACACCAGCCCTTGAAGCCTGGAGAGCCCCACCCATGGTTTAAAGCACATGTTGTGCAAATTTCAGAAAGCAAGACTATACAAGCTCATCTATTTACAAGATGCCTATTTTTCTACTAAAAATTTATTCTTATCTCACACACCCTCCTCGCTGAAAGCCAAATGCACAAAGCTCATCTATCTCTCTATAAGGATCTCTCACCTGGTTTGAAGTGAGCCTCGACATAGGCCAGGATGGAGTTGCTGGGCGCCAGGTTACGGACACGAACGCTCATAAAGTCTTTGTGCACCGCCGACTTCCTGAACAACTCATTGAGCTGAGGAGAAAAGAGAGAGAGCGAGAAAGAGTGGGAGGAGAGAACGGACAGACAGAGGAGATGATAAATGAGGCCGGTAATGAGCTCCACGCTATCACGGCAGCGAGTCCAATTCCAGAAGACTGTACCCTATCTCTGAGGAAGAAAGAAGCTGCCTCTCAAATTGGGGTGCATGGAAGGAACCCATTGGGTGTGGGTGCACAAATTGACATTTAGCTGCTGCCCTGGCATTAATTATTGGAACAAGTTTTCAGGAGGAGCTAAGATAAATGTTGAGCTACCCTGACATTATGATTGGTTTTGCTACTGATGCTCGTTACTGTGTGCACGTTGTAACAGCCTGAAGAGCTCTTTATGAGGTTTGACTGAAGTGGGATTTTTTAAAGTCAGCCAACAGTGATATTTTAACAGTTATAAATACTGACGCTGCCTTTTAACCCCAAATCTGGATGAGTATTTTCTCTTAAAAATGGGCCATTTTTATGCTAGAAGTAAAAAAAAAAAAAAGAAGTTATGTGCACTAGTTTAAATTGTGAATTTATCACATGATGTGATTCTTTTTATTAAAAGTGACCTATTCATGATATGTACACTGTAAATCAGCAAGTCCTCAGACAATAATGAGGTGAGAGCTGATGGAAAAAGCAAAAATATTTAAAAAACAAAAACAAAAAGCTGCTAATCAGTGACAATGAGTGACTGAGTGGACTTTGTTGGGTTTGAGGATTCAGTTTGTTAAAGATGATTTCCTTCATGCATTAAATGTCTCTAATTTGTGGGCTGAGGTGTGACAGCAAAGTCGAAAAATAAAATCCTCCAAAACTGGCTTAGTCACGGTGGGCAAACTCTCCCGTGGACACACGGTCCTCAAAACCACCTGGTCTTTCTTTTCCGCTTCCTTCTCTTTCTCTTCCACATGTTAATTTATCTGCAAATTACAACAGGTTGTTCTGTCAGTGAAACGAGCGGCGGGCTGATTCGCCTTCTTTCTATATACCCGTACGTTCAAGTGAATGTGTCCTGGCGTGTATGCTCTGCATGTGCTCAGTGTGTGTGCTGGAAGATGAATAGGGGGTGGTTGGCGTCAAGTGGCACACTAGGCTTCAGAGACACACAGGCTGATAGTGTTAATGAACACACATGCACGTACACACACACTCACAAATCACTGTGAGGTAGAAGATTAGGTCCCAGTAGGGCATAGTGACACTAATTCAACAGCTGGTACATGTGTACTGTGTACCTAAGCGCGCGCACACACACAAACACACAAAGTTCCCATTTCATCAGAGGAGCAAGACCCTGGCTTGACAACAGAGACATTTGTTCAAAGGTCTAAGCTCAACATAGAAAACGGACAGTGGAGAAATTCAACCAGGGTAACCAACACGAGCCAAGCTGTGATTACTGTACAGGCTCTGTGCCCGCCTGGGTTTTGGCTACAGCTACTGGCATCGTGACCATCCAAACTTATGAGACTCATATCCAGAATAAGGACTTGAGTTTTCAAATAGCTGAAAAATCATAATTAATCTCACATGAAAAGCTGCTTTTTGAATACTGTGAAGTGTCTGGCAAGCAACTGACAAATTATTCTTTAAAGAAGTCTGCAGAAAGCTGTTATATTTTTATTTTATGTATTGGTCTTAAGCTTGAAGAATTTCTTTGTCTGTTTATCTAGGCCACATTCTTTGGACGTTATTAATACTTCTGTAGTATATATATATGTATATATATACATACATACATACATATATATATATATATATATGTATATATATTTGTGTGTGTGTATATATCTCTGTGTAGATATGTATATAAGTCTCTGGAATTCCTATTTTGATGTAAATGTTCAGGGGAATAAAGGAAAAATAGAATGGTAAATCTTAATATCTTCACCTGTGTCAGGCAGGTACATCTGAAAATGTTATTCAATTTCTTTACATATTCATGTCTACAGATCACAGATTATAAGAGAATTCTAATATTCCCCTTTTATTAAAAATCAAATATCAGATAGGCCACGTTGTCTGCCTCTGATATGATGTATGTTCCTCTCTAAGTGCAGCCAGCCAGCAAAATGTGTGGTTTCTTTTTTTTTTTCCTTTCTTTTTATCATTGTTGTTTTTTTCTATCAGATGTCAGAGCACAGAAATCACTCCAGCTCAGTGTGGCAGAATATTACTCAGCTACTTCAGGGGTGTCAAGTCTGTAAAACGTGCGATGAAACCTGCCTGAAGGAGCTGAAAGAATCTGATTAGTCTGGCTCTCGGGAAGAGTTTTAGTGTGACACGATGCTTTGAGTGTTGTCTGGAAAGGTTTCCACTCATGACAAGAACATTCTTGGGAATACTAGGAAAATTTTGTAGCATTACTCTCCAAGTTTCCCTAATGGCAACAGTGGCAACTGTCATTTGAATCAATTACATCAAAGCAGTTTTAATTTATACTTTTTCTGGACACTTTTTTGACACTTGAGGGCATCAGAACAAGCTGGAAAAACAGCAAAGGGCATTAGGACATTTAAAAGTACTTTAAACCTCATTAAAAAGCTTATTTAAAAAGCTGAGAGCTAGCAAAGGGCAGTATAAGCTGAGAGATGTAAATGTGGATTCTTTAATCTATTAATTAATCATGAAATCGTGTGACAGCAAATTCAGCCACTTACAGCGCCCTCTATGCTGCGGGCTGTCTCTCCAAATAGCTCGGACTTGGGGTCCTCCATCTCAGGTGTGTAGATCAGGTCCTGGCCATCCACCTGGTCCAGGTGCAGGGAACCGCTGAACCTCATGGTGGCTGGAAGAAGAAGAGAAGATACAGAAACACTGTGGCTCAAGCCCTCTTCTTTCACTCATTCCCCGCTGCCATCCCCCTCGTTTCAGAGCAGTGCCAGTTTTGGGTTAGTGATGGATTGTGTGTTTGTGTGTGTTTGACAAGGAGGGGTTAGTGAAGTGTGTTGCTGATCGTCTGGGGCTTTAAAAAAGGTCTGCAGTTTGGCCATTAAAGGTAGAGGCGGTGGATTTGTGGTGGTGGAACAGGTGGACTGTGAAATATGACAGAAGAGACGAACAGAAGGTGGAAAAATGGGCCAGTTTTACCAGACCGAGACTCGTCCCCAAAGCTGGCCGTGCCATGGAGGGCTGGGTAAAAAGACAACAAGTTAGACAGACACACAAACACATGGAGGAAAAAAACAACACACACTAAAGTGAAAGCAACCCACGGGCACTCAAAATAGTGCCTTCCTCAGCAAAGAGAAAGCCTCCCTGTGCGACCTTGGGGGTTATGTTGTCCGACATCTATCAACTCTATATGGTTTCTCGGTACTGCCGCCAGAGAGGTGCAGTGCGATATAAAGCTGAAAGTCGAAGGTGTTTATGTGTGTGGTGGAGAACGGAGGAGTTTCTGTGCCGCTCATAATCAGCAGAACAAATTGCCCAAATCAATCATGGCTGCCCCTGCCTGAGCAATGCCAGAGAGAACAGGACGAGCACTTGTATGATTATCGTGAAAGATAGTCATAATTGTCTCCTTAATGCAGGCGGACCCATGACTGACACAGCCTGGTTAAAATTGCATGAAAAGGACAGCAGAAACTACCGATACACACACAGGCGCGCGCCGCCGCCCTCTCGCTCCCCTCCCTCACCATCTACAGTACTTTCACGGGCAGCACACATCGATTCACAAGTGACGGTGGCCATAAAATAGAGGCAAATGGGCACAGTTTGGAGAGGGGTAAAGACAGAAAAGAGAGGGGGGACAAGCGAGATCTGACTTCTAATCTGCAAAGAAGACAAACATCAGAAAGGGTGATTTTCCAGACCACTGCCGTGACGGACGTAAAGAGAGGGAAAGAGAGTGATAAAAAGACAGACAGAGCTATTTGGCTATCAGATTCTAGTGAACTGTAAAATGTAATGGATATGTCAGACTTCCCCAGGCATATGGAAGAGTTTATAGTATCTGGAGCTCAGTGTGCCAATAACTTTCACATTAGCATTTGGCAATTATCCCCGATGCCATTAAATTTAACATACGCAGGACCTAGAGTCATTTTTTTATATTACACTATACTGGGAAATATACCCAATGCAATCTATAACCAAGGTGTTTAATTTTTTTAAATATGTCAGTGTGGGCTAAACCAAACCTTGAGCCTTTTCCACATGTGATGTCTTAATAATCTGAACAACGAACAATTATTTTTCCCCCCGTGAGACAGCCCGTCAGATATCAATAAACTGTGTCGTACAATGAAATAGCAGCCGATGCACGAGGCAGAGGGATGTGTCATTTCACTTCTAATGAGCGGGAGATTGGCTGAGGCCTTCTCGGGAGAAGAAAAAAGAAAAGAAATCCAGCGTATTGATCAGCTTATCGCGCAGCTCGGTTTTATTGGTAATAACACTTGAGCTGAATGAAGTATCGATCGCCGGTGTGCCGTCATTGTTAGCTGGGATAAATATTTACAGGCTTTTGCAGATTCGTTTTAACAGTTCTCTTGTAGCCCGAGCTTGTTTCTATCATCAGCCGGATTCGAGGCTAAATGTCACAGGGTTCAACCTCGACAGAACCTGTCATGTTTCACCTCTCCCTGCCTGTAAATTCTGTGAAAGAAATAAATGGCGTAGGGCTCTGGATGGGCAAAGGTGGCCTCATATCTTTAGGTCATGTTGCAGACTGAGTGGCAGTAAATTCTGCTGGTTTATTGAAAGGCTTAGGGGACCTTCACCGTGCCAGAAATGCAACTCCATGCACTAATTTGTGGCCCGAGCTCTTTCAAGTCATGACCCAAAGCTCCCCCGAGAGCCAGAGTGAATCCCTCTTTTCACAATCAGTCAGACTACCACGGCTAGGACAAATAGACGGCAGATTTCAACCGAGGGATGGAGAGAGAGAGAGAGAGATAGAGAAATGAAGGGAGAGAGAGAAGCCCTTTATCTTTATGAACTGAGTGTGGCAGGAGTCACTGATTGGTACAACAGCGCTCGTCGGCCCCTTCTAGTCTCTGGGCTCACTCGCTGCTCAACTCCAGAGAGAAATGAACTGATGCAAGACTGGATTGAGATTGACTGGTTTGAGAGAGAGCGAGAGACAGAGAGAAAAGGTGACAAAGAGCTCAGAAGGGAACTAAGGAACAGTGGCGCGGACTGATAAAGAGAAGAGCGCACGTGAGGGTGCAGGGGTGCGAATTCAAGAGGAGAGGGAGATTAAAAGAAAAGGAGCGAGGGTGAAAGAAGAGAGGAAAGAGCGTTCAAGAGTCTCGAGCAAAACAAGAGAAAAGAAAACTCGCTGAGGATCTGTTGGTGTATGACTAATATCAGGGCGAGACTGCAAAGTGTTGCAGAATTCATAAAAATGGATTACCAAGGTCAGACTAATGGTTTCACTGTTTCTGTTTTTCTTTTCTTTTATTAATTTCCTGCCACCTGTCAATAAGCTCATTTACATATGATAGAAGTGATTCATAAAAACACTGCTGCAGAGAAAAACCAAAAAACACCACCTGTTCTGAACAATTAAGCCAAACGCTCCGATATCCCGATTTGTAAAGTCAACATTAGAGGTGTAACACGAGGCAAATGGTGGCTAATGTTTACAAACACAATACTGAAAATTGGCCCTTTGCCCGACTCACCGAGCGAAACAGACAGCAGCGGTGGTCGAGCGAGCTAGATAATGACTGAATCAGTGAAGACAGGGAGCAGGCTTAGAGTCAGGAATGATGGTATGTTTTGATTCTGGTGGCACAAAGAAACGCATCCACTCTTCCTGTTGCGCGGGATGGTGCACACATTGTGCGACTGTGTGTGTGTTGGCGACAGACATTCAGACTCGCAGCTATTTATACGTTTCTTACCTAAACAGCGAGCAGAGCAGAGAGACGGAAACAGCCATATAAGCCGGTTTCCATGTTTTTTGTTTGTTTTTTTACTTCTATCCTCATATTCTGTGTGCTACTATTGGCCGGCGCCTGTGCTATCCACCTACAGCCAAGCGACTGCATCCCAGAAACCTTCTGAACACAGCAAAATCAGAAGAAATAGGTCTCCACAGATAAAACTCCCACACACTTTATATGTCATAAGTGATGATTAAGGAGGATTTTTTACTGTATATTATACTTTTAAATATTTATATATATTATGTTCAATTTTCACATGTCAGCAAATGAATACAGACTGAAATAGATGGAAAGCAGTGCCTCTCTGAATCACGACACTGGCAGACTGACAATGACGGGTAGTTGATTTCTTGCACTTTTGTGCAATTATTCTGACTGTGTTTCACAAGTTAACTGAGAGTCACTTTAATTATTGTAATAACAGAAATTGTCCTCCGACACAGTATTCCTTAACAATATGTTGTGCGGATAACTCTGTCTGGATCAATAATCCATTGCAACACTATTTTTAGCATTTTGCACTTTTTTTCCCTCTAAAGTTCAAGACAGCACATCAATTACTGATGTCTGGGGCAAAACAGCGCGAGGCCACGCAAACAGAGGAGGACGACAAGGACTTCCTCAGGCAGCAGAGGTTACAGCTGGAAAATTTGGGTTTTTGTTTTGTTTTCTGCTTTAAATATGGAGCTGTGACACGATTAGTTTGGAGGAAGAAGAAACTGCCAACAAGTCCCTCTGAAACCGTCGTTACCACATTTGAGTGTGTGTGCTTGTTAAATAAGGTGACACAAAGCGTTCAGTGGTGAGCTTTGCAGAGAGATGTGTTAGCTGCTCTCTTCTGCTTGCAGCCTTTACACTAAGCTAATCACCTCCTGGCTCCAGCTCCATACTTAATGCACAGGCATGAGAGCGGTATCAGTCTTCTCATCTCACTATTGGAGGGAAAGCCAATTACTTTTCTCAAAAGACCCATGAAAGGCGCCCTCCATACAAACAGAGCCCGAGCTTCTGCGACTCAAAGCAAGAGCTACAGAAGCTGGTGAAACAACAGCAACAGACAGAAGACAGACGGGAAGATGTTTAGGTAATTAGAGAGTAAAGAAAGTCTTTTTCAAAGGTGTGCTTGACTTACAGGGGCAGTTGGCGCCCTCTGGAGTACTGGATGGTGTCTTGCCATCAGGGCAGCAGCCGAACTCTGTGTTGTCGCAGGACGACCTGTCCTCAAGTGTGGGTAAAGTGGTGCTCGCCATTGTGGGACCTGAGGGTGATACACAGAGGCTCATAATAGTTCATGAAAAGTTACAGCTTATGTAGGAAACCCAGAACAGAGCTACAATTTTTAGGCACTCAACACCAGCAGTGATTCCAAGGTCAAAAACCTACAATTCCAACTTTCTCTCACGTCTACACTCGTTTGTGTGTTTGTTTTAGAGTGCTGACCAGTGATTGGACACTAATAAAGGCATCTGTCAGGAGTGATTATATGGCATTTTCACTGGAACTGATTGTACACCTGGATCTCTTTTTGTCAGGTAGAGAACACTTAATGGGGAGTGTTGCCAGTCATCTCACACATGGCTCACTTTTAATGATGGGAGGATGTGATAACTGCTCGCTGCAGATTGGGTGAGTTTTACCTTCAAGGAGTCCCAGGAGGACAAAAACAACATACACTCGTGTTTGTGTTACTGTCACTGCATATCTGGCTATCTTGGGACATTACAGACATAAAAGTGGCTCGGCTTGCTCTATCTGAAGAATGAGTGTGTATATAACAGCGGCGAGCTTCGGTCCACTCTAATGATGGTGTTGGCGGAGGGGGAGTTGTCTCGGTGTCGAGGCGGTGCACTTTATGGCCGCGGAGAGATTAGAAATAATCGTCGAGGCAAAGAGCTAGCGGCTAAACAAGCCATAAACACGTCAGAGGCGAGGGACGTCCTTCTCAAGGACATGCGGTCAAAGGATGTGGAAGGAGGAGGGAGGAGGGAGAAGGGGGCGGGGCAGAAGGTGGGAGGAGGCTGGGGTTTATGGGGCATCTGCTGGCATGTGGTCTGCACATTTACAGAAGCATCGGGCAGTGCAACTCCTATGGAAGCCATGAAAGCTGTCAAATAAACACAGATAAACACAACGACAAATACACACACAGATTTGTTCGGATTACAAAAATACCACAGGCACAAAAATGTGAAAATGTACACCTCTGACCTACTCACATTTGTATGCTCAGATGGTGACATGTGCACTCTGGATTGGACAAACACAGTGACACGAGGAACAGGAGATAAGACTAACACACACACACACACACACACACACACAGACGCAAACACACAAAACAGATGACGAAACAGATTAGTTCAGTATTTCAATATCCAAAACTGTCCTGGAAAATCGTCTAATCAAACAATCACAAACTGACTGTTGAAAAAAAGAAAAACATCCAGGCACATTTGGGTACACATTCATACGCACACATATACACACAGTCACAAGACGCCAGGTCTCCTTTGCAGACAAGCTACATGCTCCTTGCATCACCGAGCACTCTGGTCAGCCTCTGACAAGAGAATAAATCTAAAACTCGGGGAGCAGGAACGAGAGGAGAGGGGGAGCAGGAGGAGGAGGAAGAGCCGAGGAAGAGCACATTGGGGCCTTGCCGTTCCATCAATCTTATCCTGTTACTGCAAGCTGTCAGGTGAGGTGGACAGACGGATGGAAGGCAACATCAGAAAAAAAGAAAAAAATCAAAAAGAGAGCACTGATTGAAAAGTCTTAGTCGTCCTCTTGTTGTTCAACCAGAGGCCCGGTAACCGCCAGAGCCCAGGAAGGCATGTCGGGAAAGATTTGAGACTAGTCATGTGACAAGGTATGCTGGCTCACACACTCGCACCTCAACCTCCCAGTCACATCAGCCTGTCAAGTCAGGCTCCAGAGATCCTGAGATGCGGACCAGCAGTTCCATCTAGAGTGTATTTTACAGAGCTTGGGTTTTGTTTTGCTAGCTGTTGAGAGCTGGTGGAATGGGAGGAAGAAAAACGCATGGGCGATGTAGCAACAGTGAACCATGCAAATACATTCTTTTCTGTCTGAAATTGAGATATACATCTTATGCAAGTGGAAATGACACTAACAGCACCTGTTGACAAAGATTTCTCTTCCCTGCCTGCCTGCCTGTGACATTTGTCTCCTCAAAAGCAATTTGCATACAAATACATAAGCCTGTGCCTATTTTTCATTTTCAATTAACAGATGATGGCATGAATGCATTATGATGTGAACTAAGAGGAGACTATGAGTTTGACCAACCCCTTTTTTGAGAAAAACCTCCCCTCCCTACACACACACCCAAAGCTTTATGGATAATGAAGTGAAAGAGCAGGGATTTACCGACAGTCTCCTCGGCCCCACTGGCCTCCGTTGGGACGCCGCTGCTCTCTTCTTCAGTCGCTTCGTCCCCGCTTGGATCCCCGCTACCCGAGCCCTCGAAGGAGACTGCGGCGGCCGAGGGAATTGGACCGCTGCGAGAGGATGTGGAGGCGGCAGCGGTTGGGCTGGGCTGCGGCGCTTGCGGCTGGATGTGGGTGGAGTGGTGGCTGGTTGCTTGCGCACTTTTTTGGGTAGGGGATGGAAAGGGGGTGGTGGTCGCAGGTTGCTCGAGGGTTTCGATCCATGGAGGCGGGACGCCGTGGACCATGTTAGGATGGAAGGGTGCGACGGTGGTGATGGTGGTGGCGGCGGCAACGGTTGCGCTTGGGGTGGTGGCGGGGGGGTTTGGGGTGGGTCGATCTGCTGGCTCAGAGATGGTTTCTGGTGGAGGGAAGGGGAGGAAGCAAGGAATGGATGAATGACTGAGCAAAGATGGAAGTGTTGGACTTTGTTTTACTGCAGTAAAACCTCAAAAATCACACCAGAGGAAATAAAAAAAACCATAATTAGCCAATAAACCATAACAAAATCACTTAATGATTATTACAACCTACTGCTCACTATAACTTTTTTTCACTCACTATAACTCCTGTATTCAGTGAGTGATTATGCCTCTTCTAATCTTCTAACCCATCTCCCCGATGTTCACCAGTGTCATTAAGTAATTACATTAGAAACCACACACATACACAAACAGGCCTGTTTGTACAAGCAGCCCGTGATTAAAAAGCCTGCAATGGATGAGATGTCAGAAATCTTTGTTTCAGGGGTCTTAAGAGTGAAAATGGAATATGCCAACAGATGACACATCGCATTCGGGCATGTGCACTCCGCCTGCAGACGAGTTATGTTTCCCAAACCGGGTTAAACTACTCCAGTTGGTGTCAGCGCATTGTGTGGAGGGTATTTGTGCTTGTGTTTGTACACATATGGCATGCATTCGTGTGCACAATATGCATGTTTGTGTGTTGCTGTGCCAATGCCTATGAATTATATATCCATATTCAAACGCTGCCCTCCAGTAGCACAGCTTTAATCACCAACAGCCAGTGCCTCCGGTGATGAATGATTGATAGAAATGGGGCAGAAAAAAAAGAAAGAAAAAAAAGCCGGCTTTAACTCTGGCTTCAAAGAGCGCTGCTTGCAGAGAGCATGAGTATCCGTCAACGCCACCACAAACACACTCGTGTCAATACACACACACACACACACACACACACACACACACACACACACACACACACACACACACACAGCAACAAAAACAACAACAGAAAAAGAATCCTTCCAAGTGAGGGGAGCGAGAAGAGCCTCTCTGTAAAGAGCCCATCATTACCAATGCAAAAAGCTCTGGTGCAAAAGGACAAACTGTTGGCGATAAAAGAGAGATAAATGGGACAAAAACTCCTGCGGGAGATAAGTGAGTTGGCAAGGAGATGCTACGTAAGCGAACACTTCAGATTTAGCCGTGGCGAGCAGTCACGGCAATATTGTCATTATTTCTTCGCTCCTTGTCGTCCCACGAGCACAGATGTGTGTTAGCGAGAAGGTGAAATGAAGAGGAGATTAAAAAATAAAAAGCTATACCGTAGACATGCGCCTCATTAGGATTCGCCTAACATTATGTGTAGGACTTAATTACACCGCTATAATCGCTTAGTTGATCGGCAATTATTCACCGAGGTGTGAAATGTGATACCTACTGAGACGGCAGAAAGCCCGGGAGACGCACAGATTGTCAGCTTAAAGCTCGGAAGATATTTGTAATAGAGAGATTTGGAGTGCATAGAGGAGCGATGCTATCACCAAGGAAGGTGGCATGCATCGCGTTTCCTCTCGGCTACACCTGTCAGTCTTGTGCCAAGCTTAGCGTCAAGCGGATTGGTCCCTGGAAAGGGCCTAATGTGTGTTTGGGTGTGTGGGCATCTCCAGAAGCAAGCTCAGCGACGTGGGATAAAGCAAGAGAGGAGCGCTCGTTGGGAGAAAGCAGAGAAGGACTGACAGCACAGTCTGTTCAGCTGACGCTTCTCTTAATCACATTTAACAGTCCATTTGCCTTTTTTTTGCTTTATTTCCTCCCAGTCGAGCACTGGACAGTAATGTCACAGAGTACAGAGCAAAATAAATCATAGTCATCTCGGCTTGCTTCAGCTGTGTACTTATTGTTGACAGGTGATTATTAAGATTGTTTGTGGAGTCAGCCACCCTCAGTGAGGAGGAGGAATTCGGAAAGCGCAAACTGGAGGAGAAAGACAAGGAAGCCACAGAGGCAAGGAGAGGAAATGATAGGGAAAAAGAGCCTGACAGAGAAAGGGTTTAAATCAGATGGAAAATACAGGTTAACAAATCAGCAGCAGGGAAACATGGCATGGCAAACTGAACGAGGGAGTGAATAATGGCACAAAAAAAATCGCAGGACATGGAGGAGAAGGCAACAGAACCCTGACTAGCAAGCAGGCAGAGGGCTGCCTGTGCCATATGCTGGCCTTCGTTGCCAATTTGCTACAAACTTACAGGTAATAACACCATATGGGAGAGGCAGGTCATTGCCAACATGGTGGCCATTTCCTCCCGCTGCCAGAATTTGCTCACCGGTACAAATACCCTCCCTCCGGTGCTCGGTACAGTGTTTTATGCATATTTTTTTGAGGATTCTTCTCTTATCGCTTCATCTTTTGCTGAGACCTAGCAAAGAAGCCGGCAATACTCCTCCCCATACTCTGCGGCTGCTTGGAGGAGACTTCAGAGAAAGCCGGGTAACATCACAGCTCTCTGTCACAGGCAGAAAGATTTGAGGAGCTTTTTCTGCAGGCTTGTAATTTCTTTCCTCAGCCTGCCCATTAGCGGCAGACTGCACAGCAGCAGCAGAAGCAGCAGTCACGCTCCCTTGTATAATAAAAAGTTGCAACAGATCAATGATGTTAAAAAAGATCAATATTCACTCATTTATAGCAGAGCCCTTGGCACTGCTCTCCTGTCAAACCACGGAGCAGCTCGGCGAGCATTGGCATGCCACGGCGCTGTGGCCCGGCGTCTGGAAGCGCTGCGTGTAAACAGTGGGAGGGAGGGCGGGCTTGGCTCTGGCGTGGTGAGGGGTGGAGGCAGAGCAAATGCTAATTCGCACCCAGCCACACGTGAAATGAGCTCGAGATCTAACTCCCGAGCCGACAGCAGCGCCAGAACAGCAACCCCGCGGTGCGACCGCATCCGGGTGAAGAAATTAAAAGATCCTCCGCGGCTGCTGGTGGGGCCCGAGCGCTCGCCTGTCTCTTCATCGTCCCCGTAGAGATAGAGAGAGAGTCCACTGCGAGGCGTCTTCGTGCCTTCTGTGTATGCAGAAATGCTAGGTGAGGGATTACACACAACCCACATCTCTATTGCCAGGCAACAGAGGAATGTGAGACCAGACTGGATTTTGGCTCCATTTGCTGGTAACCCACGGCACTGAATTTGTAATTACCAGATGTTCAGGGACTTATCAAAGCCTTGTCAATTCCTTACTGAGCATACTCCTTTTTCTTTTTTAAATCCGACTACCTGAAACTACAAATCAACATACACTATATCAACATCCTTTCCTGTCTGGAATACTGCCATTTGAGTCTGAAGGGGATCACTCAGGGAAGAGGGGTAAAAGGGACGCGTGTCTCTGCATGAGGTCATTTGATCCACTAAATGATGAGGTGAATGAACATTTTTCTACCTGAAAATGTAAGACACCTGGCAGTGGCTCGCGGCCACAGCTCCACAGCTGGCGTAGAGCTTCCTTCTGCTCTTGCCGGCGGCGTCTCTAGAATTCTGCTGTGACGCAAGCTGGCAGTCGGCGAGACCACTTCACTGTACATGAAAGCTGTGGCCTTGGCAAGGGTCCCAGTGCCTATTACACCGATCCAAGCAATGTCCATCAGCATGTGGGCTGGGATGGAGGGGAGGGGGGACAAGAGCTGTACCTTTTCCTGAGTACACATGTACTCTACATGTGCAATCATACTTCAGCAGCATCGTGTTCCTGGCAGCATCAAGCTGCGAAGGGATTGATGTATTCCCCAACAGGGGGTTTGAAGATGAAGCCAAATCCCAACAAAGGGACTGGAAAGCAAAGAGGAAGTGTCATTGCTATCTGGTGAGTTTGCAACGCACAGACTCCAGTCAAACTTGTTTTTCTTTTCAAAATAAATAAATAAATATCCATCTTAATTCTGAGATCCCTGTAGTGTGGCACATGCTTTCATTCTCACCAGGCAGTTTAAAACCAGGAGGAGAGACAGGCTTGTTCGATATACAGAAGTGCTATTGAACATGATGCGTGTAAGATGCTTTTATTATATACTCTTCAGCACTTGAATTACCTTAATAAGAAATAAGCACAGCTGCTCGAGTGTGTGCAGAAACATTTATTTTAAGATAAATGTGCTCTCACAGTGCTCTGACCTTACTTTCTGAATCAGAGTGATGGATAGGAGGAGAAACAGCAGGAGGGGGTTAATTTGAGGCCCTCGGCACTGCTCATTATCTTTTGATCAGGGACTGACAACAGTTGGCCATCCGTGTGTCTCGTTATGCATGGAGGTTTCTACGAGGCTCACCTGTGCACTGTCCAAAGTGCTGCACTGTGATGTCCTTGTCCTGTCTACAGGCTATGGTCCTCAGCTGGCACTGGTCGGCATAGGTCACCCCATCTGAGCCGCACACCTGCTCCACAGTGACAGAGATGGAGCGAAGGGAGAACACGTTAACTCCCTACAGGCAACTACAAGAATGTGTTTCCATTCAAACAACTTATTTCTTTAGACAGTTTGAAAGACACACCTTGGTTTTGTTTTTCAAATCGCAGTCAGGTGAGGGGCACTCACAGTGGGCCTGGCCATTCACCTTAATGCAAGTGGCTCCATAGTTACATTGTAACTCTTCACAGGAAGTTGGGGCTTCAGGACCTGTGGGAGAAACAAGTTTACACTGCTATACGTTCTGTACGCACTATATGGACAAAGGTACTGGGTCATCTACGCATCCTGTTAGAGTACCACTCTTGAATTCAGTGAGCTCTTCATTCTTTCATCAATGACTGTGAATGCAGGCTGCATGGTTAGGTGCTTGATTTAAAAAGTCTGTGGCAATGGGACTGAAAACACCTGAATTTAAAGATTAAGAGGTGTGGCCCAACACTTTTGTCCAAATAGAGTACTTTATATACAGCAATGGAGACTGTGAAATCAGACTATAGCTGGCAACATTTCTGCCACGTTTTGTTGTTTCGTAGTGATTTCCTCCTTTATTCTGTAATCCTTGTTCTTTCCTGTGAGTGTTATTTCAACACGTTCTCACTCCCAAAGAGTAATATATATAGTAATACACTAGGTGACAAATCATCAACATACTACACTTCCGGGCACCCAACACGTTCGTAAATGATGAGATTGGAGAAACGATTAAACTTGAGAACCGTTTGGAATCAATCTACATGTGTTCGTTCATTTTACTTAAAACGCTTTGGAAAAAAAACACTATTTAACGTCACTAAAGTGCTGGTACAGGTTAGTTAGTGTTAGGGCTGGAATACATGGCTTGAACGTGTATTACCACAGGACCGCCATTCTGCTGGATTTCACCCATAACCCGGCGCGTAACATAAGAACGCAGAAGGTCACCTTTCGCGTTCCTCAGGAACGCCGCGGAACGTGACAAATCGTCGGGATGTTACGCCTCGGGAGTGAGATTGGGCTGGTTATTTCCATTATTCATGTTGGCCTTCCCTTGCTTTTTTTGTGTATTACTGCCCTTTCATTCCTGGTTCTTTGTTCCTAGTATAGGTCCAATCATGTTTGTCCATCTAATATGCTTTCAAGACTCCAACCTTTACTTTCTGTCAGCTAGTTTTGCTGATGCTTAAGGTTTTGAATTTTTGATCCTGGTCTCCTGTGTTTGGCTCTTTGAAAACATTACAATTTCCTGTGTATCAAAATGTCAACCTTTCTGTAGGTACCAAAAGTTCGGCCAGTTAAACACCCATTAAAGAATAAAATACAGTTGAACACAATAGTTAAGAACTGAAATAACCAAAAAATGTAAAGAAAAAGTCTTTAAAAGCAACGTAAAAGATGATACTGCATACAGCAGTCACTCTGTCTCTCTTGAGTGTTAACAGTGACGTGGGAACAGACTATAAGCTGCTGGTTTAGAGTACAGGGATAGCAGTTCTGATATATATTCTGGGATCAGGTCCTGAGGGGATTTCAAAGTATAACAACAAACTGTGTTATAAGCCGTCTAGCTATAAAACTTTAACCCCAAACAGCGAATAACAATTCATCTGCACTGCTGACAACATTCATACTATACTTGTGCTATTGTGCCACAGTTTTAACCTCCTAAGACCCGAACTCTTTCATGGCATGCATTTTTTATTTCTCTTTGATATTTGGGCTGATTGGGACCTGATGAATGTAAAAACAAAGAATTACCAGATTTTTTTTTTTACTTGGTTTTTGTTTCTGAGAAAAATGAGAGCCACATATGAGGACATTCGCTTTAAATTTCGATAGAAAAGTGTCAGTATAATGTCCTCATAATTGGATATCAGGGCCCTGAAGAACAAAATTTAGTATTTTGGTCTAGACAACCCATAATTTGATGTCTACATATGTGGACGCCAGGTCCTAGGAGGTTAAAACACCACTTGTCGCACTCGGGGTGATTTTATAGTGTGGAAAAGGTGAGCTGAAAGACTTCATCCTTGTCTTGTATTCAGCATCTTTACACCAACTGTATAACAGTGATAATAGAATTCCCAAATTCTCTGAGTTTCAATTATTCATGGCATGCACAGCAATTTTCCAAAACTGCTGCACAAAAAAAAGTTGATCTTCTGAGGGGCCCAAAAGTGAGCACTCAAGATCTCTCCTCAGTTCTCCCCTAAAGACTGTTTGAAGCCTTGAAGCTGTCGCAGCAGGATCTGCTGCAGGGAGTCCACCATCCACCCACCTGGATGTGAGTGTGGGGTCTTTGCATTGTTTCATCACAGAGGCTTAGAGCACCCCACCCTTTAGCTCCTGCTTTTATGTGCTGCACCCTCCTAGTACTCGTCCTTTTTATCTGGCAGGGTGTGTGGCGAAGAGCCCCACCACTGTGCTGGGACTGCTGGCTTCATTAAGCATTTGACTTCCAGTCGATATCTGATGGTGCATCTTAATCATGGAGCTGCAGGCCCCCACAGCAGGAACTAACCTTTCCTTCAACCGGCTTTGTGGCTTGTACAATCACCAGGGCTGTTTTTATTATTAATCAAAAGTAATCAATAGTCCTTAAACAGAGGTATAAACCCACACATTCAAAGAACAATGAATCATCACAACTGTGTAGAGAAAATAAAATATCAATGGGAAATGTGTCATCCACATGCCATTTGTACACTTGAGTATTTTCCTAATCACTATTGATCAGCTCTCTTGCAGCCACTTCCTTCTTTGCCAGTAAAGCTGATGGATGCAAAGAGCCGATGAAGAAAGAAATGGCTGCTTCCAGGCTGATCCACAAATCAGATAAGTGACAAAAACCACTTTGGAATGATAGAGAGAAGCTGCAACCAAGGAGAGAAATGTGTGTGTGTTTGGTTTCTGAATGCCCCACACACCACACACTGGCCTTGATGCTCTTTCTTATTACCTTTGTCACAGCCATTCATGCCCATCTTGCTCCCATCTGGGCACACGTTGCACTTCATGCCCTTCACTCCCGTCTTGCAAGAGCACAGACCCGACATCTGCTCACAATCATCCCGGACTGAGCCCGTAGCGTCGCAGTTGCATGCTGCCGTGGAAAGGTGGAAAAAAAATGAGAGAAATTGATGAGGGGGGAAAAAGGCCAGTCAATTAGCGACAACGGCAGGAAGAGAGATAGGAATAGCTCGGTTTATAGTCTGTACAAACTGTGCTTGAAGCAACCTTAGCCTCTGTAGCGTTGTGCTTGAGAGACATCTTTGTCTTAAGTATCAAGGGTTGGTAATAGTTCAACCAGCCCTAGGGGCCACAGGAGGAGGACAAGAAGGAGGGGAATGAGTACGTAAGAGAAACTCAGGAAAACAACGCCGGGGAAGGACATCAAGTCCATTATGTTCCGGGAATCAATGACGTGTGTTGTTTTCCACTCCTCTCCTGCTGAACGTGGTATTGGCGTGTGGTGTGCTGTCTGCTTGCTTTGGGTAAACCTTGTTAAGGTCAGGCCACGGGTGAGGCACCTGCAGGCTTCCTGCTGTTGACTGAAAATGCTCTGTGACTTGGGGAGCTATGTCCTATGATACCTCAGCGGCAGGATACGAGCTAGTCACCATATTGCATTACACCAAGACAAACAAGGGGTCCCGACCCTGTTCTTTACTCGAATACAAATGAGAACGGTTCATTCAGTACAGCCTTGACAGGTCTAAAGGACAAAGTAAGACATCTTTCCACAAAAACTCTCATCAAATAGTTAAGCTCTATAAATATATGGAGCTTAACTAGAAGAGAATCTAATTTGACTGACTATATTTTATGGATATTCATTTTATAAACTTCTGTTCTAAAAAGGGTAGCTCGGAGGCACTGCTATTAATTCAGTGAGAAATGTATTGTCAAACTATGGCTCTTATCTTGAGAAATATGACTCTCACTTATGTAGAGTGGATTCCAGCCATGCAGATTTGGATTTATTTGGCAAAGACTTTAGTTTTACAGACTCAGAGGTTTTGGGTTTCTTCCCAGAAAACATTGGGGGGAATAACTAACATTGTTTATACTCTGGAAAAAAAAATTGTTCAGTAACTATAAAAGTAAAGTAGATCAGAAGAAAAGTGCACACAGAAATATTGATGGTGTATCTAGAGCAGGGGGTGCGAATCATACAAGTCAGTCAGGACTTTGCAAACTATGAAAGTTGGAGATGTCTGCGGAGATGCTGGAGATGAAAGTTCCAGATCCTGACAAGTTGCTGACAAGACCCACTGACAAGACCCACTGGAGATCAAAGCTGAGGCCCATGAACTAAACCGACTTTGACATCTCTGATCTAGACTAACTATTTCACTATTTCAGGATTTCTGAAAACCAAATAAAACCTCTCTGCGTGTTAACACTTTGATGTGCATGGATTTTTTTTTCGGTGTGTGTGTGCACAGACCATTTGTGGAGAGGAAATGTAAGGATTGAAAAGTAACATACATAAAATGAACGTCATCGAAATAAAACACATTTGCACAGCTGATCAGATACAAAGAAGGAATTCCTCACGAGTGCAGCCGCTCATGTTCTCTGTCACGATGCCGCGGAAATTCCAGAAGCCCGGCTCACAGCGGTCACACTTCTGCCCTCCGACACCCGGCTTACAGGAGCACTGCCCGGTGGTTGGATCGCACGTCCCCTTGTAGGAGCCGTAGATATTACACTGACAGGTAGCTGAGGGGAAAAGAGCAACAAGGAATTTCACTTTTCTACAGCAAACTTACACTGCTGCTGTTTATAGATCCCTGTAGCTTATAAGAGTTGGATAATGCTTACTGTGATGGATACTCTGTATTAGAGATTTATGCTAGGCTCAAATGTCAGCTAAACCCTATTCCACAAATAAAAAGGCGGATAAAGCGCGCTGAGGTGATTTTCCTTTTTTCTAAATCTCTGCGTATTCTTATTTCTCCGTCTGCATTTTCTCCATCCATGCTGTATCCCCTGGCTTACAGCTCGATGCAAGCCTTTTCTCTTCCATCTGCGTGCTATCATTTGTCAGGATCATCAGATGAAGAGATTTTTCTGTTGATACAGCGCAGAATTATCATAATTATTCCTTGGATTAAGATGAAACGTTTTCGGCTCTGCAACTTTGCTACTGTAATTGCAGTCAAGGACAACGAGGCCCATATGCTGCAAACAGCCTGATACTATCTACTTTTTTTTTCCTCCTTTTTTTTTTTTTAAACTCGTGACACACTGACGGGTCAAAGTGGGACACAGAATAGGACTCACCGGGACATCCAGCCTGTCCAACTCCTAAGGCGGCCGTCACATTGTCTGAGCAGCAGCCGTACACTGACACGCTGCAGTGCTCGGATACCGTCGGGTCCGGCAGAGATACGGCTGAAATCACCGATGAGGTAGGGAAGGAAAGGGAGGGGAGATGGAAGATGGAACAGGGAGAGAAAGAGGAACACCAGCATTTGAGTGATTACTGTAGGGTTTGTTGATGGTGGTGGAGGAGGGGAATTAAACAACACAATCTCTGAACAACATGTAACTTTTTTGCCAACAATGAGATTGGCTTGAGGGGCAGAGGTGGAGAGCCTGGCAGTCGGCTTCAAGATAACAATTCTATTTGCTACTTTCTCCACAATGACTCAAAATCAGGGGGAAAATGATGCTATTACCTCCAGTGAAAACAAACAATGGCATTTCTGGTGAATGTGCAGAAGCTGACATTTACCACCTACTAGAAGGCATGTTCTCTTCATTTGTTCTTGTCTAATATTACGAAATTGCACCGCTGCCCTACAACCTTCAAAAAAAGAAAAGAAGAAGAAGCAGAAGAAAAAAAAAAAAAAAAAAGGCCTGCTGCATAATGCGAAGGAATTTGCCAAGCAGTTTCTGCCTGCGCACACTGTGTGGAGAGCTCCTTTGTCTAAGGATGCACAAGACGCCAAAATAGTGTGACAGCACTGAATACAGAGCCACATTCAACAAAATAAAAACAAATGCGTTCCTCAAACCTGGCGCTTCTCCAGAAATTGGAAGAGAACAACAAAACAGTCAGTGGGAGGAAAATAGGATTTGTTTAATGGCCGGAGCAAAAGCATCATTGTGCACATTTTTTCATACTTTGGAGTGAAAAGTAAAGTTGTAGATAGAAACGGGAAAACCCTTGGTTTTCTGTGTGTCTCTCTATTGCCCTCCCCATCGCCTCTTTTAGTGTTGCTCATTTGGAGTTTGGAGGCTGGAGATACAGGGGCCATAAATCACACTGTTACTGGTGTGGATATGAGCCTCAGCCTAATGGTGATGACTCGGCGCGCTCTTTTTCCAGTGCTTTCCCACTCCAGAGATGGGCTTTGGACACAGTTCATTTAACTTGCCACTTTTCAGTGCTCCATTCGGCTATCTGTACTGAGCCTATTAGGACAAGGAGAACTTTTAATTTCATATGTTCTTCCACCCTTCAAGGGTTTTTCCCCATTGTCCGGCACAATGCACCTCGCTGTGACATGCAATATTACCCTCACATTTTCAAGGTCCACTGCTGCGCCTTCTCCGCTTCGCTGATTGTTGCTGGTCTTTTATATTCCTGCAAGGGCACATCTGCACATGTGTCTAGTAAACCAATAAAATTTTCAGTGGATTATATTGAAATCCCTGACCCTGATTTGAGTTTGCAGGCGGCAAAAAAAAAAAAAAAAAAAAATACTATTTTAAATGCTACAAGAGGCAAACTTTACAAATGTGCATGCAGCAGACGGCTGTGTTGACACTGTATGCAAAGTAGGTAGCTTTTCAAACTGAGAACCTCTGAAATACAAGGTTGCTTTCATGCTCCGCTACTGAGAGCTGGCATGTTTTGATAAAGTTTATGGAGCTGAGGTCAAATGAAGTTTCTCCTTACATAGCTAATGCAGAGGGCAGTGAAATTCCCCAAGATCTGAGTCCCCCCCCCCCCCATTAGCCAATAGGAGATGAGAACCCAGAGGCCTTGTACCCATAGAGGACTCTTCAAAAAAGGATTGATTATCCATGGATGGTAGAGAAGCGTGACAGTCAGTGCCCAAGGAGGCCAGCTTAGGAAGGAGAAGAATCTGCAGAGATGTGTGTGAAAACACTGGCAGCTCCTTCATTCTCACTCTCTTCAAACTCTCTCCATCCTCCTCTCTTTCAGACCCAAGGGGAATCAAACAGACTGGAATGATCACACAAAATCCCTTAAGTGCCTTTTGCTCTGCTCCCTGGCCTGTGCTAGCAAAAAGCTCTTCATTTAACATAGCCACAGAGAGGAAGATGGTTAACCTTTGCTGCTCTGCCACTGATCTCACAGCGTTTGTGGCTGATAAATGTCATTCATCACATGCAAAGAGAGGGAGTTTATATTAAAGGAAGAGGGGAAAGTGGTGTCCTGAGGGCTAAGAAGCAAGCTCCGGAGCACAGGTTTATTGCTTTAAATTCTCTGAATATCTGGACAGAAAAGTGAGCCTTTATTACTATCTGTTAGTTCACACTTGGGCCCGAGAGGAAGATTTTTAACTCTGCTCACGAGCCGGCCCACGTGGACTAGTCACTTCCCAGAAAAGCTGGAAAGCTCAAAGTGTGCTGAGTCAACCTTCCCTGAGCAAATTACACAAACCCACACATCAAATTTAACACTGACCTCCCATCATTTCACTTGCTTATGGCTAACCAGGTCACACTGAAGAGAGACACAAGCAGTGCTGTCAGAATTACACTCAAACTAGAGACAATTACAACCCCATCGATGGATGGAATGAGTGGAGAAATGGGATGTCAGTGACAATGAGACTTGATGAGGGTGCTCTTGTGCACTGCAATGACATCGACTCTGAGTGGCGTAATGTACCGACCTGCACAGGGTCCCTGATTTTGAATCAACAAGTGCTCTCGTTTCTCACATCTGGCCTTCTTCAGCTCGCACTCGTTGCTGTAGTTTTTCCCATCGGAACCACAAACCTGCAAAAAGAAAGACACAAAGCAGAGTCTGAAGCAGCGTCTAGCTTAACCCCTCAGCTCTTTTTGCTCTACCTCGCTTCAGTTATTACCAGGCCGCGTGTTTTTACCGAGGCGTGCCCTGTATTTAAAGTAAAAGCGCATTCACCTAGACGCTGAACTAAAGAGCCATTAAGTGGTTAGTTCAGTTGCTTTCAAGAATACTTCACAGCCTTTGTCAGGTGGCGTTTTTACTCAGTTGTAATGGACGTGGTTTAATCAGGTGTCATCAGTTTCACCACACTTAAGACCATGCGGTGACACCTGAGCCACATCCGTGACAACAAAGCAAGCTGCTGCTGCTCATGACGGTAAGATGACCTCGTGGGAAAAGAGGATATTTTTTTTGCTCCTGCTTATTAGACAGGTCTGTTTCTGTCGTTACTGGAGCTTTCTCCTCGCGTCACGTGGTGTTCAGTCAGGTAAGCCATAAATACAGTGTTTCTTTCCCCTGTTATGCAGACTATGTCAACCTATATGTTCCACTGACGGACGCAACATAAACACCATCTCCAGCCTTATGCCTCGCCTTTCTGATGCTTAATTGTGGATGTCACAAAACTTTCTTCTGCCCAGTTACTCAGTTTCTGGGATCCTTTTTGAGTTTTGCGTTGGCTTACAAATTACCGAGGTTGTACAGTCATGCTGTCTCCGAATAAGAAATGCTGCGAAAAGATTTTCCATCTGAAGCTGACCTTGAAAAAGTCCCCCGTGCCTTCATCCACGCCCCCATGTTTTACAATTTTGTCAAATTTACAAGAAAATAAGAAAGAAAGTGGCCCCTGATTTTGTAACAAGCGAGGTTATTCGGCAAATTCAGAAGACATCTAGATTTCTTTTTATGCTAAACAGACAAAAATTCAGGAATAATTTTCCATGTCATTTTATAGGAGATTGGAGTTTGTCCGATGAAAATGTCAAAAGCAGATGTGTGCGATTTATGTTTTTGCATTTTGCTTTGAATGGACTGGAAGATTTAACCACATTAGCAGCTAATGGCAAATGATTTTTGAAGGCTGTCTTACCAGGCTGTGAGGCACACTCGTGCAGCTGTATTCACAAAGGCATCGATCGCTTTCGTCTTCTGCGTCTTCGTACCACGTGCCTCCAAATACGAGACAGCGGTCCTGTTCACAGCTCTCCTGACCCGATCCAGACCCGCCCGAGCCGCAGTCTGCATAAAAAAAGGCACACAATATCATTAACAAACATATGCACACACATCTCAATCTATACATCTAGTGGGCATCATAGTTTTATTTGTCTTGAAGTTAAAACTACATTTAAACACTGTGGGTGCCGTAAAGTTAAGATAATTTACATTTCCCCTCATGATGGCGAGAGGCAACCAAAGGCGCTGCTGGTAGTACAAGATAATGACGGTGTCTAGCGAGGGCCACCGATTGACTAAATAAATTAGACATCTCTGCACCACCAGTGAGGCATCCTTTCATTTCAATTACATCAGAAACAAAAAAAGGGGGAGGGAATTATTAACTCCGGCCTCCAAGTGTGCGGAGAGAATTGGTGGTGAGGCCTGCTTTATGGGTGTCTGCTTCCCGATATGAGAATGCAACTAATTGCAAAGTGTTCTGTAAAATCTAATTATCTCCCAAGACTTTAAAGAAAGTTGTCCCGGCAACTCTTTAACTGCGACCCTGAAATGGCTTTTTGCTTGTTTTAAAAATGCACGTCTGTGTATCGCAGTAGGAGGAACAGCTAAGGCTGGCTTAATGTTTATAGGGAACGAGGCAGAGCAAGGACAAATAAAAACCCAATTAGGGGCCAGGATGTACAGCTCTACAAAATTATTTAAAAAGAAGCACCAGAAAGGGGGGGG